TTTTTTTTAAGATGACTGAAAGGAGGAAAAACCAAAGAAGTATGTTCTTCGTCATTTATTTACTTTATAACAGTGAATAAATATCGGTTCTGCATATCATTTATTGGGCACATAAACATGCAAATAATTGGTATCGGTTATAAAATATCAATATCGGTCGATCACTAAAAAAAATATATCATATACAATCAGAAACTTAAAGGTTGTCACAGCAACCCGTCAAAACAAAAGTTAATTTTAACTTGAATAAACTGTGACATATATTACTTCATGTAATGATAGTAATTATTATTAAAAGTTTTTTTAAGGAATATTTACCAGTAAAAAAAATTTTTTCAGAAACAATATTTCTGGAAAAAAAAATTATATATATATATTTTTTTTAATAAAATCAGTTAATTAGAGATGCTTTTGATTATTAAAGTTTTATGAAACCATTAAAATGGAATCCAGGAAATTAATAGAAATACACAGAATTTGGTAATAAATTGCTGTTAAATTGTGTAAGTTTCATGATTTAAATTAATTAAACATGCTTTTTGATTAATATTTTTAATTTAACCATTAAAACAGAGTCAGAGAAAATTTACGGAATTTAAAACGGAATTTGGGAAAACAAACCTTAACGATACCCATCCCTATTCACACCTGTCCTCTCTATGTCTGCAGGTGAACTTCTTCAAGGAGTTCTGTGTTTTCTCCCAAACGCTACAGCCTCAGAACAGAGACGCTTTCTTCAGGACGCTGGCTAATCTGGGCATCTTGCCGGTGCTGGAGATCGTGATGGTGAGTGAGCGCTGCTGGATGTGACACATGTGCTCCGCTCAGCTGACGCTGTGGTGTGTTGTGTTGAAGGGCATGGAGGATGTGCAGGTGAAGGCCGCAGCCACGGACATCTTCTGTTACCTGGTGGAGTTCAGTCCGTCTGTGGTGCGGGAGTTCATCATGCAGGAGCCGCAGCAGGCCGACGACGTGAGTATCAGCGTCTCCCTGTGTGTTTCCCTCTCAAACCAGCAGGAGTCTTCAGAAGCACATTCCTGACTGTGTTTGTTTAATAAGACGGTGTTTTGATAGTTTGTCTTAATAGGCTTGATTTCTGTTTTTAATAGTGTATAATTGTGCAGGTGTTTTCTGTGAATTGGTTGCATGTGTACTAGTGTGGAGATACGAGCCAACAAAGCCAGAGTGAGTTTTTATTTTGAAATCAAGCACCACAGTGGAAAGAAGTAACTTTGTGTTATCCGTGACTGAGGAGTTGTGATGCTAATCATAATGGGAAAATCATAATCACGATTATTTTGGCCAATATTGTAATCATGATTATTTAACACGATTATGAGGGGGCCATATGACCAAAACTTTATATGAGTGATTTATTTAAAGATAGTGATGCATATCAAATATATATTTATTTACAGGAAATAAGGTTGCTATGACATCTACATTGTAGAGACCAGCGGAATTTCAAACAAACAAACAAACAAAAAGTCCTCAAAATTATTGAAAATAATTAAACTGTCAGTAATAAAAAAGCAAAGGACAAATACAATAGAATAAAAAGATACAAATGAAACAAACTGTGCTTTAACGTTTTTTATGCAAGTCTCAAGCAGTTAACAGCCTGCTACAGAAATGAATAATCAAATGTAAAATAAAACAGCATAGTCTTCACTGCAAGAATTAAACTTGCTTTGTTTCTTATTAAAGATACAAAAGTCCTTCACTCAAGAGCAGTGTGTGATTTAGAATTTGTCTTTTGTTGTTTGATAAATATGAAGCACACAGTCGCAGCAGGAAAATAGCTCGCTGTCACTTTAAGAGCCGCGGATCCAATTTACCGTTACACACGTATTTTCATTCTCAATTCTTTACGTTCATTTATTACATGACCGACGAAGGTATACATGAATAATCACTAAGCGCCACATTTTGACACACTTTTGCGTGTATTTGGCCATTTAGGCGCTGAAAGATGACTTTACAGTTCGTGTTCTGCTCCGTCTCTGAGCGCATATATCTTCCTGAGGAGCGGCGCGAGTTCTCTTTCACGCTTTTAAAAATATGAATAAATATACTTATATAAATCAAGCACGTCCCATTTTGCAAAGGTCACGTTACATGATTTTACTGATTTGCACGTGAAATTGGGCATAATCACTAAGCGCCACATTTTGACACACTTTTGCGTGTATTTGGCCGTTTAGGCGCTGAAAGATGACTTTACAGTCCGTGTTCTGCTCCGTCTCTGAGCGCATATATCTTCCTGAGGAGCGGCGCGAGTTCTCTTTCACGCTTTTAAAAATATGAATAAATATACTTATATAAATCAAGCACGTCCCATTTTGCAAAGGTCACGTTACATGATTTTACTGATTTGCACGTGAAATTGGGCATTTATGGAGGAACGAAAGCGCAGCGCTGGAAAAGGGGCGGAATGAGGGCGTAATATTAATAATCTCGATTATTGTCTTTTCATAATCGTTGGAGGTCGAAATCAAAACAGTTTTTCGATTAATTGCACAGCCCTAGTATCTGTCACAACGACACACTAAAGAGCACCAGAAGAGCTAGTGTTTGAACGTGAGAGCGGAGGCTGACAGTAATGTTTAGTGAAGCTGTATTCAGCAGAGATCACAGTGCATCATGAAGCGGGTGTGTTTGTGCTCAGGACGTGCTGCTGATTAACGTGGTGATCAAGCAGATGATCTGTGATTCGGACCCGGAGCTGGGCGGTGCAGTGCAGCTCATGGGGCTCCTGAGGACCCTCATGGACCCCAAGAACATGCTCGCTCCGGCCAGCGTGAGTACAGCCTGACAGCTGCTGTTTCAGTCTCCAGAGAGTGGCCCTCTGCAGACACTCGTTCCTCTGTGTGTGTTTGGACAGAAAGCGGAGAAGAGTGAGTTCCTGAGCTTCTTCTACAAGTACTGTATGCACGTGCTGACGGCTCCACTGCTGGCTAACACCGGCGAGGAGGACCCAGGTGAGACACACGCCTGCTCCGCTGCTGCAGTGTGCGCACATATCAACACGTGTCTGTCTGTCCACAGATCTGACGGAGGGAGCGGCTAAACCCAACCCCGTGTGTCCAGGTACCGTCTCACACTCCTCTCACACACACTCACACACATGTGCTTGAGCTGAGCCTGTCTGTGTGCTGTGCCTCAGATAACCTCCAGACGGCGCAGCTGCTGGCTCTGATCCTGGAGCTGCTGACCTTCTGCGTGGAGCATCACACGTACCACATCAAGAGCTACATCATGACCAGAGACCTGCTGAGGAGGGTGCTGACGCTCATGAACTCCAGACACAGCTTCCTGGCGCTCTGTGAGTATCCTCAGTGATGACTGGCCTTGTGTTAAATCACTCGATCAGACAGCGGCTCATGGGCCTTGTGCGGTCACAGCAGTGCTGGACCCGTGTGATCTGAACACAGTGTAGAGAGCAGTCTGCTGGGGGTTTCTGAGCTCATCCTCGCTCCGCTCATGTCTCCTCCTCTCATACACACACAGCTGCTGCTAACACACTCATCTCTTGCTCGGGCTAGTTAAGCCAGGCACATGGGTAATAGTCACACCGTAATCCAAGCATTATATGAGTATTAAAATCACAGCGTGTTTATGAAAATTTAAGAACTTCATAATCTAGTTCAAGCATGAATATTTGTATGTAAATGTGGAGAGGGCACACACACGGACACATATATTGGGTTTTCATGTTTTATATGCACTTTACATAGACACAATGATTTCTATACTGTACAAACTGTATTCTATCCACTAACCCTTACAGAAAACTTTCTGCATTTTACATAAAAAAAAATAATAATTTAGTATTGTTTATGATCAGTTTTCCTCCTGGGACATTTGCTCTTCACATATAGAGAATACGAGGCCATGCACACTCACCTGTTTGTTTGACTGCATTAGTGAGCTCATCTCACACACTTCCAGTGTTTTATATCAGGTTCATGATGTTTTCTATGTTCTAACCCTAAAACACCTCAGAGAAACCTGTTCAATAAAATGTAAAGAATTAAATATGCAGTTGATTTGGATGATTTTTAAGTTGTTGTTTTTTGTTGTTGTTTTTTTAAGTAGTGAGATGTATAATAGGTTTCACTGTATTAGTGAGGATATTTTTGGACATTACAAGTCAAACCTACTCACTCACTCACTCACTCACTCACTCACTCACTCACTCACTCACTCACTCACTCACTCACTCACTCACTCACTCACTCACTCACTCACTCACTCACTCACTCACTCACTCACTCACTCACTCACTCACTCACTCACTCACTCACTCACTCACTCACTCACTCACTCACTCACTCACTCACTCACTCACTCACTCACCCGGTCATCAGTGCGCTGCTGGACAACGGCACCAGATACAACCTGCTGAACTCGGCCATCATCGAGCTCTTCGAGTTCATCAGAGTGGTGAGTGGAGCCTCTGCAGAACACAGTCTGATCCGCTCGAGTCTGACCGCTGCCCTTCCCTCATCAGGAGGACAGCAGATCTCTGATTGAGCACATCGTGGACAACTTCTACACGGCGCTGGAGTCCATCGAGTACGTGCAGACCTTCAAGGGCCTGAAGGGCCGCTATGAGCAGGAGAAGCAGCGTCAGAGCCGAGGACTCAGCAGGTGCCCACACCTCAGCCTTGCTTCCTTCCTTCATTCATTCATTCAGACTGACTGACTGCTGCTAACAGGGCAGTGAACCTCTCACAGGTGCCGCAGGGACGCCCGCTCCTTCGAGGAGGACGAGGACATGTGGCTGAATGAAGACGAGGAGAACGCCGACACAGGCTTGGACAAGTGCAAGAGCGACTACGGGAAGTTCATGGAGAGCGAGAAAGGTACTGGATCTAGCAGAGTTCCTGCAGCTCCTGAAGTCTTTATTCAGCCGTCCACAAATCAAGAAAACTCATGAGATGTTACATGCACTGCAAAAATATGAAAGTCTTCCTCTGTATTTTTGTCTTGTTTTCCAATACAGATACCTAAACATCCTTAAATCAAGAAACATTTACTTGAGATGCAATATGAACATAAGTTTTGTTCTCTGAGAAATTGAACAGAATTGAGTTCATGCTCCTGAAACAAGAACTAATATCTGCCAATGGAGAATGAAAACTTGTTTTCCCCAGTCAGTTAAGTTTATTTTTCTGCAAACTTCACTTTGATCAGTTTCTCATTAAAAAAGACTAAAGCAATAATCCCCGTGAAGCCGTGGTTTACAGTGGATTTATAACCGCTAAGGGATGAAGCCGAGTGCCTAAAACCCCCTTAGCTGTTATAAATTCACTGTAAACCACGGCTTCACGGGGCTTATTGCATTTATAAAACGGTTATTCCATATACATAGTAAGGTTTCACAAAATAAAACAGAGCAAATAGTGTAATGATATTAATAAAAACAGTATTCTTCCACCAAACAATGTAGCTCCTCAGAAACAGTTGTGGTTGCTACAAAGTGGTTGCCGAGCAACAGACAAACGTAAACAAAGGTGTATGTTACTTTGTAGAGTAATTTACAACAGCTTCGAACGCGGCTCAGCCAATCAGAATCAAGCACCGGAACTATCGGTTTTATAATTCTTATTTTGTCATTTAGCTTCTCAAGTAAATGTATCTTGCTTTAAGAATCTGTCGAGGTTTGCAGAAAGCGAGGAATAACATCACATTTTTGCAGTGTGAGCAAAAGTCTCCATATACTGGTGTTTCAAGCAGAGATATTCAAGCCTTGAGCTTTTTATTTAATTGTAAAATGAATTAAAAGGTAAGTTGTTTTTCCAAACTTTGAAGTGTTGCTAATAAGACATTTTCTTATTAAATGATCTTTTCTTGGTCTTACAGATGTCTTTCAAAAGTGTGAATTGAGCATCATTAGACCTGCAGACAGCTGGAAGCTCCTAGTGTTCCCCGCGGGGCTCTTCCTGTCACGTGTCTGTTTTCTCCTTTCAGTTAAAGAAGGTCAGGACAAGGAGAGCCAGCCCAAGCGGACGACGACGGGCAGCTTTAAGTTCAGGTTCTCTCCTTCTGCAGGAGTTCCCCCCTCCGCTTCCTCCAGCGGCTCCAGACCTGCAGCGCCACCTTCAGGCCAGACGGCCCGGGTACGTCACGCTTGTTCCCATCGACTCGCAGCGTCTGAGCAGCTTGTGCTCTCTTCTAAAGCTGCCTGTGCTCCTCAGACCGGACCGCTGGGGCTCGTGGACTACTCTGATGATGAAGACGAGGAGAGCGATGACGAGGAGCAGGCGTCACACAAGAGGCCTCGTCTGGGCTCGTAAAGCCCGCTGTAGCGCTGTGCCCACCCCACCTGAACCCGAGGAGCTCAGCGGTCTGCTCTCCAGTGAGCCGCACACGCTAGCAGGACTAGCCGCGCTAGTGAAGCTGGGACTCGAGGGCTGCTGTGGGCAGATGTGTATGAGAGCTTGTACAGTGGCTGCTTCCTTTCTTACTGATTTCCTCTGGACGCCTGTGTTTCTCCAGTGAGACCGTATTAACCTTTATTCTCAGACGTCTGTATTTCAGGCTAGAAGATTTTAAAACACATGAAATTGCAGTGAAATGTTTAGGTTTGTGTGCCGCGTCTCCTCGGCGGAGATGAAGCATGTGCACTGCAGCGGTGTAGCGCTTCTCTGATCTCCGAGCTTTGGGCTCTTCTGTCTCACAGAACACAAGCTGATCGCACTCGACCGCCAGATGCTCAGATTAAATATTAAAAGCTGTTTTTGTTTTTCCCCTCGTTTTTCTACACTTTCCTACTTGCACCATCTGCGTTAAAGAGCATTTGTATCAATTTGATATTTTTACAGTTTTCAGATTAAATTTGGTCCTGCAGTTAAACAAGGTTGTTCAGTATTTTGTGATGTTTGAATGTGTGCACTAACAGAAGGACCGTTGACGCTGGAGTGTGATGACTGTGATCAGTAATGAGTCCAGAACGTGAGAGGTGTGCTCTGGAGGTCTGGACCGGCGGTGTTCAGCCCTGTTCCTGCAGCCCCTAACACTGCACATTTAATCAGGTATACCCTTACATAGGGCACTATTTGTAGTGGTGTCCGAAACCAGTGGAAGTTATCGAGTGCACCCATTTTCCAAATGTGCAGCGTAATATCATACAGACATTTGATTGTGGTTAATACATGCTAGTTACCGTGACCGAATCCAAGCGAAGTCGTTTCACGTGTACTGGATGGTTAAACCGCAAGCACGAGCGATGCTAAAGCAGCAGCCCCTCCGCTCCTTCAGGACTGTATCAGTGCACTAGTGTAGAGATCCTGAGTGAGGGTGTGCGGGAGACCGAGCACAGCACCGTGAGCTGAATCCGGTGATGATTGAGGAGACTCCAGGAACAGGGCTGAGTCCTGAAGATGTGAAGGATGGCCACGGCTGTCTCGGAGAAAGCAGCAGAAGTGCATGCGAGCACAGTTACATGAGCGTCCCAGTGCAGCTGATCCGGTCCACAGTACTGGACAAATAAAAAGATGACCGTATCCAAGCCGGAGCATGCGGACAGAAGCCGACCGCACACAGAACTGGAGTCTCGAGACCGAGGGGCTTCTGTTATCATGACTGGACCCGTGTGCATTTCATCTTGAGGATCTGGGTCTTGTCTCTGTTCACGTTGAGACCAATCTGAGGTGAAATAGTTGTCACTACATCAGTGTTCTTGTTGTGGGAGAGAAGTGCAGGGTTGTCAGTAAAGTCCAGGTCCTCTTCATTATTCAGTCAATGGCAAAAACAAACAGGAGGGTGACTACATTAACAGAGATGGATAAATACTGTAACAAATGTATCGCTCATTATAAGTTATATTAGTTAATCTGTTAACTAATTAATTAACAATTTACACAATTAAAATTGCTTAATTATTATTTCTTAATTAAAACTTATTAAACTACTAGTTTTTCCAGACTATATTTTTAAAATAAGATATCCTATTTATTCACTATAAAGTAAGCCTGCTGTGTAAGCTGTGATGAGTGTAAATCAGTGAAGGACTGCATCCAGGTAAGCCAGAGCTCTGCACATACTCTGTTGAAGGAGATCAAACATGTTTGACATTTTGAGCCGAATTGAGAAAACATTGTTTTTATTTGTCATGCGTCTCCTAGCAACAAGGAGCATGTTTCCGAGTGAGTTTTGTTGCTCAGAGCCATGACCAATGAAAGGAGGACACACTGTAGGAGGGTTCGTAAGGTTACAACAAAAATATTTATTAACATAGGAAGGAACAAATATATAAAACCAAGAAACAACAGTTTCTCGGACACATGATGTTAAAGTATCAGACAGAACAAGAGTCACAACTAATAACAAAATCAAACACAAAACGACCGAGAGCAAACACCAACAGAGCCTAAGCTTTGATAGAGAAGTGACCACCAAACCCCTAACCATAACCTCCACCTGCAGCTAACCCCCGTGTGCTCCAGATCATTACTCTACTGTACAGACAGACATTCTTCTCATCAGAAACATGGGCTCTCTCCAACAGTAACCACACATTTCACATCTTTAGGCGCAAATGATGACGAGCATGCAAACACTTTATAATAACTTTCATTAACAAACTTTATATAATGATTAGCAGATCATTAATTAAACTTTCAGTTCATATGATCAAGCACTTTTTAAAAATCTACAAATGATTTTAGCAGAAATTTTACAATTATTACAAGATTATTTATGAATGTACTTTTAAATGCTAACAAATGTCACTAAACCTCCGTTCATTCATGTATTACCTAATGCTCTTTTTTACATTTACAAATGTGAAAAATTAGCTTAATTGGTCATTTTAAGCACTTCACTATTCACTAAACAATTCATGTTATCATATATTATTCATTAACTCATAATCACAGTCTGTAAAGGCCATGTATTTAGTCTCTGTTTGTTGTGTAGACTTCTACTGTTTTCACATCTTAACAAATCATTTATTAATCATTTGTTCATGTTTCTGCAGTACTTAATCTAAAGTGGAGACTATTCATCATTTGTAAAGGTTTACTAATCTTTTAGTATGTTTATGGGCGCTGGACTTTTAGCTGCTGTAACAACGCTTGTGTAAAGAGTGGTTAGTTAAGTTTAGCTAAATGCTCTCCTCAACACTTATATTAGTATACGACTGTATATCATTAAACAGAATATTCCTTTAATCACACATCACCAGGAGAAAACAAATCAGTTCTTCAAGAAAATACTTGTTCATTTATCAAAACAATATAATATAAACAGATTGAACCGTGTTCCCGTATAATAATCAAACTGACCCCTGTAAACTGTTGACCATTTAACCAACCCTTAACCTACCGACACCACATAACCTGACCCCAACCTTACCCTAACCAACCCTTAACCTACCCACACCACCAACCCTGTCCCTAACCTTACCCTAACCAACCCTTAACCTACCCACACCACCAACCCTGTCCCTAACCTTACCCTAACCAACCCTTAACCTACCCACACCACCAAACCTGTCGCTAACCAACCCGTATCAAGTATTGTATAATGTTTGTTAATGAGTTATTAAAGTTATTATAAAGTGTTACCTTCCATTTCATGTTTTCCAGCTGTTTCTCTCAAACTATGATAAAGCACTGAAGTGTGATTATCTAGCACACTTTACACACACACACACACACACACACACACAACCTGACCCTAACATTACCCTAACCAACCCTTAACCTACCCACACCACCAAACCTGTCGCTAACCAACCCGTATCAAGTATTGTATAATGTTTGTTAATGAGTTATTAAAGTTATTATAAAGTGTTACCTTCCATTTCATGTTTTCCAGCTGTTTCTCTCAAACTATGATAAAGCACTGAAGTGTGATTATCTAGCACACTTTACACACACACACACACACACACACACACACAATATTCAGATCTGTGTCACACTCGATCAGAAAACACACGAGAAACCAGTGATTTCAGACAGACGTGAGGAATATCACACGACCACGAGAGCTTCACACTGCATCTGCTCATCATCAGTCCATTCTGGCTTTATCATATTTACTGGCGGAGTGTTTTGTGTGTGTGTCGCGTCGCGTGCGCACTGCTCGTGTTTGTGCGCGTCCTGCTGCCCGACGCGTTATAACGCAGCGCTGCTCACTCAGAGTCAGTGTTAGTGTGATTGTTTCCAGACTGTGCGGGTGTTGCCTGCTAAGGGAGCAGCAGTGGGTGTGTTCTCATGGCGCACTAACACACTAGTGCACGCGCAGTATGTATCTGAATGAATGGAGGAAACGAGAAGCGCGCTGGAGGCGTCGACACACTGCAGCTGCAGGCGCTGTGTATCAGTGAAGTCTATGTAGTGCAGTGCGCTTTGTTCCCGTGATGTGTGGCGGAGGCGGAGCGGCTGAACCCGTGCACTCGTTAGTGCGCTTGCTGTAGTAGCTCACAGGCGGCGCTTTGTTCGACACGCACGCACGCACGCACGCGCTCCTGCCGCTAGAAGCTCGACACGTCACGCCGAATCTAACGGGAACAGCGGCGTCTCATTCGGGATGAAGGCACTGATCGCGCCGCGCTCGTCCGGCGGAGAATAAGCGCGAGGATCTGCTCACGCGGGACGCGGAGGAAAGTAACGCGAGCGACAGGATGAGGAGCGCGTTATAGACACAATCCTGCTCCAGACACTGCCGCTTTATTCCCACGCGATGGACACGATGCAGCGCGACGCTTTCACGCCTCTGCTGGAGGATTTTCTGCGCTCTCCTCTGGTGTGCTGGGTGGGTGATGAGCGGATCTGCCGCGCCGCGCCGCGTCGCGATGGTGTGCTGAGCCTCATCTGTGTGTGTGTGTGTGTGTGTGTAGGTGAAGACGGTCTCTCCGCTGGGCTCCGGAGGCTCTCATCTGTCCGACTTCATGACTTTAGTGGACGGGGTTCATCTAAACGACATCATGACTGAGATGTGAGTACAACCCGATCGATCTGACCCTGCTTTTACTGCAAATACACACTAAATACTAGAGTCAAACCACGGGAACCACGAATCAACCATGGGTTTACTACAAACAAACAACAAAATAAAAACACTTACTAGAGTTAAACCACAGTAATCGTTCATTAACCATGGATTTACTACAAGAAAAGGTTACTCTAGTTAAACCACGGTAACCTCAAATTTGGTTTTGGTTTTACTTAAAAAAAAAAAAAAGGAAGAAGGTTAATATAGTTAAACCATGGGAACCACAAATAAACCATGGGTTTACTACACTATGCACAGTTTAACCTTGGTGTTTGTAGTAAAACTGCTTATACAAATGGTAATCAATCCACCAGAAAAACATGGTTCCTCCACGTTTACTCCAGTGAAAGCATGGTTGATTTAGGCTGAATGAAGCCCCTCAGACTCGGCGAGTACGGCGTTATGTCTAGCTCTTATGGGCTTCAGTGTAGTGAAGAGCTCATTATAACATGCTGAATCACAGTAACTGATCACATGACTGATGTTTGTGATTGTGAGTGTCACGCTGCTTTTATACAAGAGTTCAGTCACTATGACAGATTTGAGGACCGCAGCTTCCTCGAGTCACTTCTGCACTGCTTCTGATTGCTCAGAGCAGCGGTCCAGCTCAAGTCCACAGCTCTGACCATCACAGTCCGTCACCATCAGCGGAGGTCAGCTCAGGACACGTGAAGTGTGACGTGACGAGTCTAGACTCCCATCAGTGCCTGTGTATTCATGTCAAGTGTGCGCTCACTGGCTGTGTCTGTGATGTTTGTGTGTTCACGGATGTGTGTGATGTGTTCAGCTGCTGCACCCACACACACACTCACACACACACTCTCTCTTGGCACCGTGCTGGATCTCCGGCG